TTATTAAATATAAATATGTATATATTATATGAAGAAAAATTATTTACATAATCATACATTTTTAATTAATTATAAAGATTACAAAAAGAGTATAAAATAAAATATTTTCACATGTGATCTTCTCCGTGATGATAAGTTGCAAACATTTGTAAAGGATGTACAAACAGTTAAAAATGTACAAACCTTCGTGCTGACAGCCCTCGCAGCATGGAGTGAGCAAAATGAGGAAACCATTGTACAATCATCGTAGAAAAGCAACAATTACTCGGTCTTTTTATAAATCGAGAAACATATTTCTTGTGTTCGAAACATGAAATAGATTTGAATTATAAAGAACTCAAGGTATAAACATATCAACATGTTTGTGATATTGTTAAAATTTGAAGTTAAAATACAATTATAATAAATAAAAATATTTCTTTGTTTGTTACTATTCTTTAACAAAATGAATTTTACAAATGTAAATAATTTCCGCACGTATTAACTGTAGTCAACAATGTCGGCCATCGGTCATCAGCGCGTCGTTAAACGAGTGTCGATCAACGGTGACTGCGGCGATGTCGTAATGAATATGTTAAACTGTCATTCCCTAATTTACGATAGCACGAAGGGCAGTGCGGAAGTGAATGAACATTAGAACGCGCGAACACAATGGATGAACACATTCACCGGTCGGTGTACCGATATAACCTCATTATCGCCTCGCCGATTATGCTATTGTTTTGAATGTTCATTCATTCAAGGAGCCCAATTAACGCGATATCATAATCGACCGTTAATTCACGTATGTACGGCACTTTCAACATTCACTGCACTCGCGATACATACAAGTAAATCGAGTAAATCACGTGAAACGCCGACACTCTCGACCACCGAGTTCGTTTCGACCGTGGTGAAAACAAGTGAATAACATTATGCACAATGGTGGCTGCGTTCCGATATTCACTGCCAGTACTGAAAATATATAGTTCAGATCACGTATATTATAGATTTTCGGTACTGACGGGTGAATATCGGAACGCAGCCGGTGTCAATTAATCGCAGCATCAGCAAGTCAACATCGGTAATGCGTTGTCTACAGAGAGATAAGCCTTGAGCAATAAGGAATTGACCAAACATAATCGATTATTCTTCTATAAATCGATTATGATTGGTTTATTTTTTATGGCTTAAAATTTACTTCTCTATTGTAAACCCATAACGCAATCAATCAAACATTTGCCTTAACGAATGTAATTTGCAATACTGATAATGATATTAGCAACTATTAAACATGCAGAAAAACATAAGACTTTAATCGAATTAAATTGAAAATTACCAAAGATGTAAGATTATTATTTTGAAACTCTTGGCTATAATTGGTCAATTTGTGCTTAAGATTTATCGCTTGCTTTTCTAGGTATTCGCTTTACCTCCATTTCTTAATGGTTAATGATAGATTAATTTTGGCCTCAATTAAATTCACCTTCTATTTTTATGTAATGAACTAGAAGAAAATAAAAGATAAATTGAAGATCAATGTTAATCTACATATATTGCTGGAAATGAGGATTAATGTTTTTAATTGTAATAGTTCTGATCGTTCCAAGAACAGGTGATATAATGTAAATAAATATAATTATTTAAAGTTAATCAAGTCCACATTAAGTTTATTAATAATTTAATATTTCACAATTAATATAGCGGAATCATTTAGGCATAGTGGATCTAAGTTATATTACAGACTTTCACGAAACCTATTCTTTAATGCTGCATTACAATTTTTTTTTCTTGTTTTCGCTAAACCTTAAATATATATCTCTTTAATTTTAAGTACAATGAGTACACACATTAATTCAGCTGTAAAAAAACAAACTTGTATACATCACATATACATATTACACAACTCATATAGATGTCCTTTTATTGCATCGTAGCAAACGTTTTTGTGAATTCATATTTCATAACTGCTTATTTCGTATATGGACTATTATATTTAGATATCCAATATCAAAAATTAAAAAAAAGATGGCGACTTGTCGATGTCGATTATCGAAAAATACAAATTTCACGCGGATATTGCAGCATTGCCTAGTTTCATTCGTTCTTTTTTTTTTTCTTTTTTTTACCAACCATCACCGAGTGGTGATTTTTATTATGTATTCAATATCGAATTATATTACATATAAATTCTTAAATAGTTTCAATTGTCTGTGTCGTATATCAAGCGCGAATTGCATCCATGGCATTCTGTACTTGCTTATCGACAACTGTCGGTGTCGTTAACTAACGACAGCCAATGACAGTCGTGCCTTTTTCCAAGATCGTCCATTGGCTGTCGTTAGTTAACGATACCGATGGTTGTCGGTAAGCGAGTTATAGAATCTCGGCCCTATGAGTTTTCCGTCGCGAAGTTGTTAGTATATATTTCAACTTTTTTGTATGGAATTTAGTTATTTTTTTAAATTCCCATTATATTTTCTAGAGAGGAGAAACAGAGTAATTCCGATTGAAATCTATTTTGAACTATTTCCATAATACGTGTCCAGCAATCCTCCGTATTTCGCGTTGTTCTATCCATCCCGAGTACATTACGAGTGCCGGGAATGTTGCAAAAAGTGATGGGCGAATATCGAATTACGATAGTTAATCAGCAAATTTATATATTTACTTATATATTAAAATTAATATATTCTGAATCGACGTGTGTGTGTGTGTGTATGTGTGTATGTGTGTATGTGTGTATGCAAGTGGATATAGTGCAACGGAGGCGGACCGATATCATAACCGAACACTTCAAAGCTGATGAGGAAAAGCAACGTATCCGGAAGAAAGTGCAGCGGGAAATGATCGAACGGTAAGTGAACATCACGTTAGATTCACGTGAAACCCAATTATTCGCCGTTTGTCCCGTGTTCGGAGCAAGTCGTTGCGTCAACAGGGATCGGCGATTCCCTTACGTCGTCCCGTCCCGGTACAACGCGTGGAACGCACATTTTCCCACATTCCGGAGACTGAGACGCAATCGAGACGGCTGAAAAGATGGCGATCTAGGAATAGATCCATCGAGCAATCTCCCGCTAAGAATAGGCGGGGCGTCCGAAATTCTTGAGGGACGCAAGAGCATCCTAGGTCCCGCCCTACGTTTCATGAGCATGAAGTCTCATGATGTCGGGAGAGTCTAATGCGTCGGGCAAAATGGCTTTTGATGCATTAGAGACTGGCGGAAAGTCGAGGTCGCCCTTGACGTAAGCGCCTACCCGCGCGTAGATACACAAACACACCGACGCCTTTTCGCGTATCGCAACGTTTCCGAGAAGTGCGACACGCCGCAGGATGCCGACAGGGGACGAGAAGCGGCGTTCGGGGCGAGGTGCGACTTAGCCGTCCTCCGCTCGTAAAGCCGCTCGGTCGCGCGGAAATCGTTCACCTCTCGCCCTGATTGCGCCGCGAATTCATTAACGGCGCCACGACGATCAGCGAGCGCAATCGCCGGTGGTGGTGTGCGCGATCGCGTTCTCGATCCCCGACTTCGCGAATGCAAATGCCCCTGGCGTCGCATGCAAAGCGCCGGCCCGCGCGCGACAAACAGGTCGGTAACAAGTGGGTGTGTTGGAGCGGCCTGAGATATTTTTACGCTTTTTAAGGCTAAAGCCGATGGCAATCTTTCGCTACTCTTTATTCACTTAATTATTCAGGTATTCGAGCGATTCGCAAATGACGTTTGAACTAAATACATAATGCACGGCGACTAAACTGCGTTGCAATCGGACTATCGGCGTTTCTCGCTGATGCAACTCGGAGAGGAGGAGAAGAAGGGGAGGGGGGGGAGGGAGAGGTGCGCGTTGCTATAGAGAAAATTCTTCGCGGGTGCGTCAAGTTTAAATAAATAAAAACGAAATAAAAACGGGAAAACATTCGCTTTAGGCTTAGGAACACGCGTCGCGTCTATGTGCTATTTGGGTCAAACTCTTCCTTCCGATATCGGAGTAGTAGCGCGTCAATTTGGACTTGCAATAAGCGGTCTCTACATCTGTCGTCCTTGACATCGACCGTTGCAGCTACGCAGTTGCAACCGAGTGTGCATCGCCGATATCTGCCTGCTGAACCTACTAAAACGGCCGCGAAACGATACGATCGTGTGTGTTTTGATAGCATAAACAACTACGACGTACAACAGAGGTCAAATTTAGTCTGAATTCGCGCCGGAGCGCGTCTCATTAGCATTTCGTGCGCGTTAGAGAAGAGTCTCTCGGAGCGGAAGAGGAGGGACGAGAGGGGATGATGCGCTCTGCTCAATCGTTCGGTATAAGGCGATGCCACGCGATCTATCCATATTTTACGCGAACGTGCGGTCGATGACGAATCTTGGCGTCGTCCCCGCACGTCCCGGCGGCCACACAATCGGTTCGATGCTACTTTCGCGAATGACGGTGCATCGACGCCGACGCAAGGCAATCTTTATAGATACCGTCGGCCTTGTCCTTGACATCGACCGCAGCGTCCCAACGCTACGCAGACGGCCCGTAGTTACGTCGAGATACACGCGGAACATGCCGAGAAGCGGTGCTCATGGTGGGGCTTATGTCGGATCGGGGTGTTTAAAAAGGGTATAGAGGACGCGATCTATGCATATATATATATATATATATATATATATATATATATATAGTCG